CGTTCCGCTCCTTCAGCAGGTTCTTGGTCTTTCTCCTCCAGTAGAGGGTCCACCGCCTGTCCAGTCGCAGCCCCTACTGGAGCCTTCCTCTCCGCTGCCTGCTCCCTCTCCTTACACTGGTCCTACTGGAGGTCTTGCTGAGCGTCGTGAGCCTGCGTCTCGTCCCGCGTCGCCTGTTCGTGCTGCTCGCGCTAGTGGTCGCAGTTCGCGTCAGCGTCCTCCTCCTGTCCCTGGCACGCACCGGATGTCTTTACGTCCGTCCACTGCTCCTCTGCGTGCCCCTTTGCCTTCTCCTCCTGAGTCCTCTCTTCCTGCGCTTGCGGACCCTGAGTCGGACTCTCTTCGTGCTGCCAGTCCCACTGTCACGCGTCTGCTTGCTACTGTCGTCACTGACCCCTCTTTTGAGTCCACTGCTGCGTCTGCTCTAGTCGCTGAGCTCGTCGACTTTGCTGCTCGCTGTCGTCTCGACTACGCTGCTAGTCTTGTTGCTGAGTCTGCGTCTGTCTGTCCTCCGTCCGTCGGGGGTGAGTGTGCTCTTGGCACGGACGTCCTAGAGGACAGGCAGGAGGAGTTACAGTGTCTAGCGGCTGCTTCACCTCATCTCGCGTCTGTACTGCTTGCCCCTGAGGGAGACCCGGATGCACTAGACATCCCGACTCCGCGTTCTTACGCGGAGGCCGTAGAGGGTCCCTACTCCTCTCAGTGGCAGGCAGCTATGGATGCAGAGATGGCTTCCTGGAAGTCCACAGGCACCTACGTTGACGCAGTTCCCCCTCCTGGGGCGAACATCGTCAGTGGCATGTGGATCTTCAGGGTGAAGCGGCCGCCGGGCTCTCCACCTGTCTTCAAGGCACGGTACGTTGCTCGTGGCTTCAGTCAGCGGCAGGGAGTTGACTACTTTCAGACCTTCTCTCCCACCCCGAAGATGACTACTCTTCGGGTGCTGCTGCACATAGCCGCTCAGCGCGACTACGAGCTTCACTCTCTCGACTTCAGCACTGCGTTCTTGCAGGGTAGCCTGCACGAGGAGATCTGGCTTCGCCGTCCACCTGGCTTCACTGGGACTTTCCCTCCTGGCACCCAGTGGAGCCTCCGACGGCCAGTCTACGGTCTCCGCCAGGCACCGCGTGAGTGGCACGACACACTGAGGACTACACTTGCGGCTCTTGGGTTTGCTCCTTCTACTGCTGACCCGTCGCTGTTTCTTCGCACCGACACTTCCCTGCCGCCGTTCTACATCCTCGTGTACGTCGACGACCTGGTCTTTGCCACAGCGGACACTGCTGGACTCGCCTACGTGAAGTCCGAGCTGTTGAAGAGACACACGTGCACAGACCTGGGTGAACTGCGCAGCTACCTTGGCTTGCAGATCACTCGGGACAGAGCACGCCGCACCATTACCTTGACTCAGTCACACATGGTGCAGCAGGTCCTTCAGCGCTTCGGCTTCACGTACTCCTCGCCTCAGGCCACTCCTCTGCCTACTCGCCACTCACTCTCAGCTCTGCCTTCGGATGAGTCCGTAGAGTCGAGTGGTCCGTATGCGGAGCTTGTTGGCTGCCTCATGTACCTGATGACCTGCACACGACCTGACCTTGCATACCCTCTGAGCATTCTTGCACGCTATGTTGCTCCTGGGAGACACAGACCGGAGCACATGGCTGCAGCGAAGAGGGTATTGCGCTACCTGTGCAGTACGTCAGGCATGGGGCTAGTGCTTGGAGGGCGGAGTCCAGTGGTCCTTACCGGCCACGCGGACGCGTCTTGGGCTGACGACCAGGCTACGCAGCGGTCGTCACAGGGTTACACCTTCAGCCTTGGTTCCGGCTCTGTCTCGTGGCGGTCTACTCGCTCGTCTTCGGTTCTCGGCTCCAGTTGTGAGGCTGAGATCTACGCCGGGGCCATGGCTGCACAGGAGCTTCGCTGGCTCACCTACCTGCTGACTGACCTTGGAGAGCCGCCTCGTTCTCCTCCAGTGCTGTACGTAGACAACAAGGCTATGCTGGCCTTGTGTCGAGAGCAGCGCTTGGAGCACAGAACGAAGCACATTGCTCTCCGCTACTTCCTTGCTCGTGAGCTGCAGCAGCGTGGTCAGTTGCGACTTGCGTACGTGGCCTCTGAGGCCAACACTGCTGATGTGTTCACCAAGGCACTTGCGCCTTGTGACCATCAGCGCTTCTGCACCCAGCTGGGTCTTGTGCCTGTCTTGCCTCACTTGCTCTCCTCTTGACTTCACTTGTACTGTGACATATATATATATACCTGCTCTTGCTTGTCTAGCTTTATATATATGTCTGTACTCTTGCTTGTGAACTGGCCTTTGGCCTCACTCTTGTGCTCGGACTGTGTGGTGACTTTGTGATCCACCCTGAGCTTTGCTTTGTCTTGCTTGACTGGTCTTGTGACCCCTTGTTCTCCCCCACTTTGCCTATGGGGGTGTGTCAGAACATATCTATAGCTTATACTGCTGTGTAGGCTGTAGTGGGGTATCCCATAGGGGGTACAACCCAGTTAGGGTTTCATATTTGTACTGCTTTCATTCATAGTTCACTCATTCCTGTTTTCCTACTTTCACAATTTCTAGGGTTGCATATTTGTATCACTTTCGTTCCTTAGTCAATCATTCTCGTTTCAGTTTTCTCACCAGTGTCGTTGCGAGCATTTCCTGTGTAAACTCGAAATTTCCCTCGAAGCGGATTTTGACTCTCTACCTTTTCCCGTATGGCCAGTGGCGTGCCGTCGACTTAGCGTGCGTCTATCTCCGGTAAGCAACGGCTAAGTGTCAGCTGTAGTTTTCGTGTAGTTGCGGTATTAACTAAACTGTGGCTTGCTCCTCCGTCGATAAAAATCTTCACTGCTGCTCCCTGAATTTTCCCGTGGATCAGTACTGGGCAATCCGTCGCTGTACCCTCCTTATTCATCCGAGCCCGATCGATGGCGTGAATCAATACTGTGACTCGGTGAGGGTCGGTGCGGTTGGGCAAGCAGGCAGTCTCGTCAGTAGTTGGCCCAACTTCTACTGACTGCTGGCGTTTCCCTACCTCTGAGACTCCCCCCCGTGCTCTGCTCCGCGGCGCCTTAGCTCCTTTGGGCATTCGCTCTTGCGATGGCCCGGCCTGTTGCAAACAAAGCAGCGCCCCTTAAACGGTGCGGCAGCTGCATTCGTTGCAACAGCGTTTACAGTGGCGTGCTCGATCGGTCCCCGAGGACGATGTCCGTAGTAGGACCCCGGTCTCGGTCGGCGTAGAATGTCGATTTTCTCGGCGAGCGCGAGAATCTCGTTGAAGTTTGAGAGTCCGCGCAGCATGATTTCGTGCGAGATATCCGGCTTCAGCCCTCCGACGTAACGGTCCACCCGCTCCGCTTCGTGCATGTAGCCGACCTGCTCGCAAAGTGCGAGAAAACCGTTCGTGTAATCTTGAACCGACCCGAGCTGCCGCCAAGTGCGCAATCTGCGACGCGCCGAAATAGAAGCCGCGATCGGCTCGAAGCGCGCCCGAAGCCCTGCGCACCACGCATCCCACGTGCTGCATTGGGCGGTCTCGCAGAATGAACTCCAGGTGACAGCTGGACCCGTGGGCCCTTCCTCTTGCGACGGTGGCTCGTAGGCGCGTGGCGACGTCACGATGACTCGCCACCAGTCCATGGCGGGGCCCCTTAACAGCGAAACGACATACCGAATCTTCGCTGCGTCCGACTCGACGTAATTCGCGTCGAAGTAGACGTTCATCGTGAAAACCCACGATTGAACCGTCGGACCTCCACGCTGGCTCGGGTCCACGCTGGCTCGGGTCGAAGCAGGGCGGGCGTTGCGGCTTGAGTGGCATCATCAAGAACGAACGCTAGAAAGGAACGTCGTCACGGAGGCGTTCTCTCACTCAGCAGCTACGATTGATTCCGTTAGCTGCGATTTCCTCGTCGGTAGCAGCTTTCGTTGTCAGCGGAAATTGCAATACGAAACGATCCTCCTCCTCATCAACAGTTTCCGCTGTTAGCAGCAACATTCGCTCCAAGGACTTTCGTGCTCGGAAGGCATATTCGACGTTCAGCGATTTCGGCCGTCCGCCAGCAGAGATGTTTTTGCAGTTAGAAGCGAGTATCGCCATCAGCAGCAACAATTTCGAAAGTCCCCTCTGCTGCGATCACAACGAGCTAGTCTCGTCACCTCAGTCAAGCTCGAAGCTCGCGTGGTTTAGCGGAATCGCCAACGTAGCTGTGGCTAAGCGGAATCACATGGAGGATCGCTTCCGCCTCGAATCGCGCTTTCCCTGCATCAGGTACGCCCCTACTGTGCGAATGCTCACATTAACCACGTTAACTACTTTTCGCCACGTTCTTAATCCAGACCACTCTCTAATTTGTATTTTGCGTTTAATTGTGCAGAATCTTTCTAAAAATGCGCGAAATCGTTGTCCGCGCGTCGCAGCACGGCGAAATCGCTGTTCGTGCATGGCGGAATCGTCGTCCGCGCGTCGTCGCACGGCGGAATCGTTGTCCGCGCGTCATCGCAAGGCGGAGTCGTTTTCCGCGCGTCGTCGCAAGGCGGAATCGTTGTCCGCTCGTCGTCGCACGGCGGAATCGCTGTCCGCGCGTTGTCGCAAGGCGGGATCGTTGTCCGCGCGTCGTCGCACGGCGGAATCGCTGTTCGTGCATGGCGAAATCGTCGTCCGCGCGTCGTGGCATGGCAAAATGGTCGAGGCTGTGCGTCCCATCAGCGTGGGGATGGGCAGCAGTAGCGGCAGCAGCATCAGCTCTCACTGCTTCTTCAACCGCCAGCTAAGTGCCTTCTCCACCCTCCACTCTCTTGCTTTCATGTCATGCTTGCACCATGCATTGCACCCCCCTTTTCACTGCTCTTTGTCACACCCATTAGACCTCCCTCCCCCAAGGTAGTAGGTATCTTTTTTCTTGGTACAGCCTCGGGTATTTGTATTAGTTTGGTTCAGCTGGTACGAGGTCTCTTGGGTGTGACACTGCAGCAGTCCATTCATCCACGCATCATGCTTGCGCTTGCTGCGCTTTTCACTTCTACTTGTCTTGGCTTCTTCCCTCAGTGCTCTCCCCACTTCTCTGCGCCCCCTTCACTTCCCCGTTTTCTCCCCCTTCTCCTCCCTTTTCTCTCTCTGTCCCGATCTGCCCCCTTCTCGTCCCAGCAGGTCGCTCACACGGGAGTGGCAGTGGTGGGGGACATGGAGTGCACAGGCAGCAGCTGCTCTTCATCCAACTCACCTACAGCTAAGTACCCCGCCCTTCCTCTCTTCTCCCAACCCTCGCACTGTGTTGCTTTGCTTCTCATGCTTGCACCATGCATTACTCTCCATTTTTCACTGCTCTTTGTCACACCGATTAGACCTCCCTCCCCCAAGGTAGTAGGTATTTTTTCTTGGTACAGCCTCAGGTATTTGTTTTAGTTTGGTTCAGCTGGTACGAGGTCTCTTGGGTGTGCCACTGCAGCAGTCCATTCATGCACGCATCATGCTTGCGCTTGCTGCACTCTTCACTTTCACTTGTCTTGGCTTCTTTCCTCACTGCTCTCCCCACTCCTCTTCGCCCCCTTCACTTCCCCGTTTTCTTCCCCCCCTCCTCCCTTCCTCTCTCTGTCCCAACCGGCCCTCTCCCGTCCCAGCAGGTCGCTCACACGGGAGTGGCAGTGGTGGGAGGGGAGGCGGGCAGAACTCCACTTGGATGGGATGGGATGGGAGAGTGTCGGGATTGGGTCGTCTGAAACAAGGTGAGCCTCTATTCCTTCGTGCACTCATGCTGCTGCTTGTTCTTTTTCCCATGCTGACTTCCCGTTTCTGCTCCCTTGCTTCCTTGTAGCTTGTGCCTGCTCTTCTCCCCATTCTCACTGCTGTCCCTTGATCCGCTGCCTACCCCGGCCTTTCTCCCTCCCTCCCAGTACATTGAAGGCCGTAGCAGGGCAGCACGGGGGCAGCGGCAGGGCAGCAGCGGAGGGGAGGGGAGGGGCAGCGGCAGCAGCAGGGGGAGCAGAGTAGCAGACCGGGAGTGGCAGTGGCGGCTGACATGGAGTGCACAGGCAGCAGCTGCTCTCCACCCAACTCACCCACAGCTAAGTACCCCGCCCGTCCTCTCTTTTCCTAACCCTCGCACTGTGTTGCTTTGCTTGTCATGCTTGCACCGTGCATGGCGCCCCCATTTTCACTGCTCTTTGTCACACCCATTAGACCTCCCTCCCCCAAGGTAGTAGGTATTATTTTCTTGGTACAGCCTCAGGTATTTGTTTTAGTTTGGTTCAGCTGGTACGAGGTCTCTTGGGTGTGCCACTGCAGCAGTCCATTCATGCACGCATCATGCTTGCGCTTGCTGCACTCTTCACTTTCACTTGTCTTGGCTTCTTTCCTCACTGTTCTCCCCACTCCTCTGCGCCCCCTTCACTTCCCCGTTTTCGCCATCCCCTCCTCCCTTCCTCTCCCTGTCCTAACCCGCCCCCTCCCGTCCCAGCAGGTCGCTCACACGGGAGTGGCAGTGGTGGGAGGGGACGGGGGCAGAACTCCACTCCGCGGATATGGGATGGGAGAGTATCGGGATTGGGTCGTCTGAGACAATGTTAGCCTTTTTTCCCTCGTGCACTCATGCTGCTTCTTGTTCTTCTCCCCATGCTGACTTCCCGTTTCTGCTTCCTTGTAGCTTGTGCCTACTCTTCTCCCCATTCTCACTGCTTTCCCTTGATCCCCTGCCTACCCCTGCCTTGCTCCCTCCCTCCCAGTACATTGAAGTCTGTAGCAGGGCAGAAGGGAGAGAGGAGGAGGGAGAGAGAAGGTGAACTCCACTCTCCCGCCCTAGCTCCAGTGCTCCCACCTTCAGCCTGCAGGAGAGAAGAGGGGGAAGAGAGAAGCCTAGCCCCCCTTCTCCCACTGCTGCTACTGCTGTTTTCGCTTCTGCTGCTGAAACTGCTGCTCCCAGTCTGCTACTCTGCTTCCCCTGCTGCTGCCGCTGCCCCTCCCCTCCCCTCCGCTGCTGCCAGCACCCTGCCTGGACCACAGAGAAGTCTCTCCCTCCCCTAATTCCCTCTTTTCTCTCCACTTCCCAGCAGCCTCAGCATCATGGCGCTCTGCACGGCTGCGGTAGGTACAGGTGAGGGCATGGGGTGAAGTGTGGGGTGGGTGGGGTGGGGAGCATGGGAGCAAGCGGGGAGTTCACTGCCTTATCGGCAGCATCTCCTGAGGTTTTGTCTTGTTGGTGGGGTGTGGTGGTGGAATCTGTGCGGCACGGCACTCGGTGCTCAAGTAACCGAACTGGCGTTCTAGGCCTAATGGACACCGTCAGAGCCGACCGGCCGGTGGCTCTGGTTCGCGTCAGCTCTGGCCACGTCAGGGGTGGGATTTGAGTCTTGGGCTGGAAGCAATTTTTCGCTACCATACCTCGCCTTACAAGGCAAAGCCTCTGGGGGCGCTGTTTCCTTTAAGAAGTGGGCTGCCTGCGGCTCCTACTGCTGGCAAGTGAAGGTGAGGAGGGGCTGAAACCCCTTGGGAGGGCGAGTGAGTGGTAGAGAAAAGGGGCTGAAACCCCCTGGGTGGGTGAGTGGAAGAGAGAAGGGGCTGAAACTCCTTGGGTGGGTAAGTGGAAGAGAGAAGGGGCTGAAACCCCCTGGGTGGGAAAGTGGAAGAGAGAAGGGGCTGAAACTCCTTGGGTGGGTAAGTGGAAGAGAGAAGGGGCTGAAACCCCTTGGGTGGGTAAGTGGAAGAGAGAAGGGGCTGAAACCCCTTGGGTGGGTAAGTGGAAGAGAGAAGGGGTGAAACCCCTTGGGTGGGTAAGTGGAAGAGAGAAGGGGCTGAAACCCCTCAGGTGCAATGAGTTGTATGCGACAGTGGGATCACACAGTGTGGTATTTCATTTAGTGTGTGATATTGTGGTGTGGGATACTGTGGCATATCATAGTGTGGTATGTGATGTGGTGTGTGGCATCTCAGTCCGACATGTAATAATGTGGTGTGTCAGACTGCGGCGTGCCATGAATCCATGTGCAATGATGTGTCATGATGTCTGGCATGTCACTGCCTGGTTGAGAGGGGGAAGGGGGAATGGATGAATCCCCATGGGTGGGAGAGTGGGGGCTGAAATCCCTTCTGTAGGAGAGTGGGGGATGAAACACCTTTGGTAGGTGTGTGGGGGGATGAAAACTTGCGTGGGAGAGTGGGGGCTGAAACCCCTTGGGTGTGCTGTGTGGCATGTTACTGTGTGGTATGATACAGTGGGGTCGGTCTGATACATTACGGTATGACACAGTGTGGCAATTTTTAGTGTTGTATGACACAGGTGGTGTGATCATACGGTTTGGTGTGATGCAGTGTGGCATGATGCAGTGCGGTTGGATGCACAGTGGTATGATTCAGTGTTGCTTTTTACCGCGTGACATACTGGGGTGTCCCATGACAAGGTGTGGCATGTCATTTGGTGACATGGCATGGTGTAGCATGTCATTTTGTGACATGGCATAGTGTGGCATGACATTTCGCGATATGCCATGGTGTGGCATGTCCTTCTGTGGCATGGCATGGTGTGGCATGTCATTTTGTGACATGGCATAATGTGGCATGTCATGTGGTGACATGGCATGGTGTGGCATGTCATTTGGTGACATGCCATGGTGTGCCATGTCATTTGTGGCATGGCATGGTGTGGCATGATATCATGCCATATGCATCTGGAGGGCAGTGGAGCACAATGGAAGGCAAGGAAGACAGTGTGGGAGGGAAGAGGAGGGAAGTGGGATCGGGGAGTGGAGGTGTGCCTTGCAGCAAGCATGGCTGCCTCACCTGCCATGCCCTTTTGATGCATTGCACGCGGAGGAAAGAGGAGGGAAAGGAGAGGAGGTGTGCCATGTGGCAAGCATGGTTGATCGCTGGAAAGAGAATATATGCCGTTGTGCACCTCGTACATATTGTGAAATATACCTAGATATAAAAAAATGTGATACAACATCATTATATCAATTCCATGTTAAAATAATATATTTGTGTACGGGGTGCTGATTTCAGCTCTTCTGATATGTGAATGCAGTTTTTATTGTTGACTACCTGCTTTGATATCTCCAATTTCGTACCATGCAAATGCTCTGTTGACCACTAATTTTTTGTGTTGCCACTACCATTTTTAGGTGCGTCTTTAAGCTGCCAAGAGCCCTGCTGGTCCCAGTAAACAATTAGCTGCTTTAGTTTGAATCCACAGAACTGTTACTTTCAAAACTATTTAGGAAGTTGTCCTAGTGAAAGTGATTGAAGAAGCAGTTGCACATATTGAAATAGTGAAAACAAGTGGTAGTGTACACGGACTCTTTCAATTTCTGTCTGTTGCTGAGCTATTTGACAACAATGCCAGTGGCAAGCTGTAAAGAAAATTCCTTTTCCTTACTTCGCATCCCTGCTCAACGCGTACATCACTGTAGCACCACAGTCAGCACCGTTACCACTCGCAATCCTCGCATCGACAATCCGCCCGCCACCTTCGCACGTCGCACCCCAACCTCACGGCTCGGCGGGTAACCCGCGCTCCGGGCCTCCGCTTCGACACTTTTCCCAACCTCAGTCCCAGGCCCGTCGCGCGACAACCACACTCCATTACCGTTACCACTGTAGTTTCGCTATATATTCTTCGCTCATGCCTTCGCTCATTGTACTCTTGCTTCGATAGTGCAATTCTCGTTCGTTCACTCAATTGCACTCGTAACACTTGGTATTCAGAGCCTACGATCTCCTCTCGGACCGCACCCACACCTTCGCTTCCCCACTATCTCAATTTTTGGGGGGGGTAGATGTCTCTCAGCGACACAGCACCGCCGCTCGTAGTGCTCTCTCGTAAGCACGCACGGCCACGACCGAGGCTCTCGCTGAGCTCGCCCGACACCCCCGCCATGGCCGAATTCACGCTCGCCACATTGACGCAGAAGGAGCTCGACCGTCTGGTGCGCCAACTTGAAGATTCGGCGCTCAAAATTGTGACGCTCACGGCGGAACGTGACTCCGCACGTCAGCAATCTACGGTGAACATTTCAGCGCCACCACACGCACCGACAAATGCATCTGCACAATCGGACGAGCCGATCGTCATTTAGTCCGGCACACCAACGCAACTTGACAGCGTGGGACAACGCTCAGGCGCATCCAGTGATGGCGCCGTCCAGCCGATGCCTGGCATGGGAGGAAACAGGGTCGCACCAAGCCCGCGGGAGCCTCGTGAAGCCCGTCGGCACGTGGAGTTCGCGGCGACAAGTGGCGAACAGGCCATTATGGCACCCATGCCACTCAAGCCGCAACGCCCGCCCTGCTTCGACCCAAGCCAACATGGAGGTCCGACGGTTCAATCGTGGGTTTTCACGATGAACGTCTTCTTCGACGCGAATTACGTCGAGTCAGACGCAGCGAAGATTCGGTATGCCGTTTCGCTATTAAGGGGCCCCGCCATGGACTGGTGGCGAGTCATCGTGACGTCGCCACGCGCCTACGAGCCACCGTCGCAAGAGGAAGGGCCCACGGGTCCAGCTGTCACCTGGAGTTCATTCTGCGAGACCGCCCAATACAGCACGTGGGATGCATGGTGTGCAGGGCTTCGGGCGCGCTTCGAGCCGATCGCGGCTTCTATTTCGGTGCATCAGAGATTGCGCACTTGGCGGCAGCTCGGGTCGGTTCAAGATTACACGAGCGGTTTTCTCGCACTTTGCAAGCAGGTCAGCTACATGCATGAAGCGGAGCGGGTGGACCGTTACGT